ATATAATATTGATAATGAATAAAACTTTAATTCATCAAATTTGATTCACTCCATTACTGTGTGTTTTTTAGTAAAAAAATTATTTTTATAAAAATTAGAAATAAAAATACCGGAAAAAATATCTAACTTACATTTGAATAAATTAATCAAACTTGCAAAAATCACTTTAGCAGTTTGTAAGCAAACATATTGGGATGTTCAATCTGCATGAAATTTTAAACTGTGGATAATATTTTAGCAAGGACCATTTTAACGTCTCGATAGCTATACTAAAATCTTTTTAGCGTGAAATAATTTTCACTTGAAAATCAAAAGTATTCATAACGTCTACTTCCACGTAATAAGTGATGTGTTTTTGATTTTTTAATTTTAAAATAAAGATATCAGAAAGCAAAAAAAAATACATAAAATATATATGTATATGTATTGCAGAGACAGTCATCATTAAGGTGCTTATGCATTTAAAATCTAAATAACTATTAAATTATGATGCAAAAACTGTATTGGAAAAGTATAAATCATATACGCGTGTTATATATTCAAACTCATAATGAATAGTTAATTAATTATTGCGTGTCTGCAGTATGTACTTGTCTTGAAGTGCGCAAGTAAAGCATTTCAGGCCAGGTGTAATACAGATGTGAGATTCTGAGATTCTCGACATTATGTCGGGATGTTGCATATGCTCCATCACTTGTTCGGATTATCGAAATTAAATACGATGTAAATGAAATCTAGCGTAAGAAAGATGAAATACAGAAGGACGGACACCTGTGCATTGCACCTGGAAACAATCAACTTCTGTGCTATAACTGTTGCTTATTACACCATATGTCAACACAACCATTTTTTCTTCTTCAATCTCTATTTTGTACTCCTATTATTATTTTTATTATTTATCATTTTTATTTATATATTTATTGTATTATTATTATTATTATTATTATTATTATTATTATTATTATTATTATTATTTACTATTATTATTAATGGTCAATTTTCGTACCAAATTATTGCCAAATCTAAAGTGAGACTGTATTCCACAAAACTGTTTTAAATTTGTATTCAAAAAATTTGTATTTTTATATATATATCAATACTATAAGTATAATAATGGTAATGGATTCATCGCTACTGTTGTCAAGATTGTAATTCATTTGAGCTTTTTACCATACACAGTTAATGCTTCTGATACTAAAATTCCAACTGTGACAGTAACAAAATTGTTATTATTGATATCAGTAGTATAATGAACAACTGATAGTTCGAATTTTTGCAGTGCATATTATAGCTAACTTTTAAAGAAGGCTATATTCGCTTTAGGTCATTAAGATCTACGTTCAATTAATTTACATCGTTGGAATGACTATTATTAATGTAATTGCTTATTCTTTTCTGATATCATTGGGGTAATTAGTGTTGCAATGATAGCTGAAAGACACTGAAATATTATTCAAAGTTACAGAAGTTTATCTCCAAAAAGTATCAGGACTAGTAACTCAAGAAATGTATTAAAAATTTTTAAATTATTATTATTATTTGGTTAAAAACCAGCTCATACGTACAAGTATATTGTATTGATTAAATGTACAATAAGATTTTTCTTATTAAATTATTTATTTTAGAGTTGTTCGCAAGTTCATTCTGCAGTGTTTTAGTAGAAAATTAGTAGTTCTTTTTACCGAAATAAGACTGTTTATATTGCTGTCCACTTCAAGACGTTTCAATTTTGAGGCTTTATCATATATAAGTAAATTGTAAACTGTTATCACAAAGTATATAAATAAATGAACAAAAGACTTACTGTATAAAATGAAAGTTACAATTGATTGCATACAATGCAAAATTACAAAGTTATGGTATAAGATGAAACAGAAAGTATGATTTTATGATACAAAACAAATATACAAAATATTAACTTGCAACATTTGACTGACTCGTCTATTTAAAAGTAATACAAGGAGATAAAGTAATTACAATATCCAGGTTGGTAGCAAGGATTATTTCACTTTGCATAACAGCCATAATTAATAAATGAGCTTCAGTGAAGAACAAGGCTAGAAGGCTATAGGTTGATCATTAGATTACTGTCGAAGCCTTAATCAATTTGTAATGATGTGTTCAGGATATTCTGAAATTGCTATACATTTTCAATTAACACAATCATTACTTATTTGGTTTCAACTGAAATAAAAGTTTAACTAATTTAAAATTTCAAAAAAATTGTCATAAATTTTGCAACGAATTATTTAATTAAGTTATGAATATGATTCTGAAATATATTTCAAAATACTAAAACCTAGAAATCATACCTGCAAAGCAAGAATGTAGTCTGTAACATGGTAGATTAATTCAAGCTCATTAGAGTGCATTAGTTTACTTGGCAGCAGTTGACGTAATTTGCACAATACTTTTTCTAGTTCACGTCGTTTGTATGATTTCTTACGTTTAACAGCAGAATGATGCAGAAATTCACAAGTTCTATTGTTAAAGGAACATTCAGATGAAGTCGAAATTGCGAGTGATGAAGAAGAATGTGATAACGATGAATTTGATGAGTTCATTGATGCATCACTCTCCAACGTTGAAGATAGCGTTGCTGCTTCCGTATCAAATTCAAGTCTTATTTTTTGTGCTAAAGTCTGCTTTTCACAACCTGAAATTCTTCAAATTAAAAATACATTCGTGTCAAACATTAGAAAAATATTAGACTTTGCAGTGGAAAATTTGCAGTTAATATTACTTATAGTCTGCACAGATAAACCTTATAAGTAACCTAAAGGTTGCATACAATAATCATACCACAACAGATAAAAATCTTTGTAATACTTTTGTGAATTATATTCACGTGATTATCAATACAACGCACAAACAAACTAAGCTAGCATAGACAGTTATCGAATCTGAAATGTGATTGATCCAAGATTATATTCAATACTAGAAAACTGAAATTTTATTTAATTAAAAAGCTAGCGTGACAATATAGTACTAATTATTGATGTACAAGAGCACTAGAAATATGATTATAACAGTGATAGTAATAGTATTCAATTCGTTTGCTTAATCAAAAACCAACTTTTTCAATTAAGCTTAAATAAATATACTGCATAAGTTTGTACTAAAAAATTATATGTGATCGAAATGAACTAAAATAAGGCCAAACAGTACTACAAGTCAAAACAACACTATAATGCTTGGCTTGACAGTATGCATTTTTCCCCTACAATACAATGCTACACTTAAAACGAAACGAATATAATTGAAGGATAGGAGAAATTTGCATATACAAAGGTGGGAAAATGGCAAATTTTGAAAAGTAATTCTTTTTAAGTTTCAAAATTCAAAAAATTTGGTGTTCACATACAAATAATTTATGCATGCAATGAATGCTTTAATCTCAAAAGATGCTATTAATAAAGCTTAAAAATACTTCAAGCAATGAAGTAATAATTCTCAAAGCTTCCTGAATATGTTCATATTCAAGAAAAAGCCCAAAACCTAATCTTGTATTTATAGACATTATGTGGCTAAATACGGCAAGAAATGCAACAGAAGCAAAACAGATATGTTTGGACAACAAATAGTTTAACTTAGTTAATCCAAAAATTATGAGTAAAGAGATGAAACCTAATTCCTGTCTGTTACTTAACAGTCCACGTTTATATTACTTTTCAAAGCTAAATCAGTCAGTATTACTTGATCCAAACTTCGATCCTCAGGTCATCTTCCCCTTCAAATATGTGCACTTTGAACAGGAAGATGGAATACTGACTGATTTAGCTTTGAAAAGTGATTCTTTTTAAGTTTCAAAATTCAAAAAATTTGATGTTTTCACTGCTTTTTCTAACTGAATTTTTGAATTTTGAAACTTAAAAAGGTTGTATTTTTCGTTACTGTAAACCACTTAGGCACGCAGTTTAGCTTAGTTATTTGTTTTTTATGCAAATTTTATCGAACTAACAATTTTTATCTTATCAGTACAAAAATGAAGTAATATTGTACAAAATGAAGTAAATATTGCGAAAGGATTGATCGTGCATTACTTGCTAGTTATACACTTAAATGTTATATCGTTGTATGAAAAGGTTAAAGTTCATATGAGCAATTAGCCATAGTAATGTGTAGTGAGCAACCGGAAAATATACTTTGATGTTTTATTTGCTTTAAATGTACAAATTTTCTGCTGGTAACGGAAATAAATACACCTGAGCACTTCAGAACAATGTTTGAGTACCACTCAGTTGGTACTTATTTTTGACGACACCGACTTTGACAATGTACTTACAGTAATAACACAGTAGTTAATCACAGAATTATTAAAGGAAGTAAAATTATATTCCCAACAAATGTATCCAACCGAATATCATCTTCAAGGTATTGAATCTCAAGGGAACAAGGTTGGCTAACCAGCAGATAAAAACTAGCAACTAAAAATTATAAATATTTCCCGCATATTTTTCAGTTTATAATTAAACAATATTTAACAGGAACTACGCAAGGAAATTATACGCCAGATGGATAACAGCAGTAGCTTTTGGTCTGGTTAGTTATATCAAGCAGCTGTTAGCTCAGAACAGCTCTAAAAGACCCGCTACTTATCATCTGCTCCATTTCATATCTCATTGAGAATTTAAGTCTAAACTATTATAGATATAATAAACAGAATATAGATTTATGCAAAAATCAGCTCAAAATGGTACATACTGCATTTGATCAGTCTATCTTTAATATGCATAAATACAAATTATCACTTCATATTTATTATCATATTTTATTCCTATGCATTCTTGTTTAATAAACAGTAATCTTTTGGTAAAAACATATTTAATCAAAGCTGTATCTATTTTCTAGATCTGTGATAAAAATTAACGACAAAAAAAAAGTTTTGTTATATAAAATATTTTCAAAACATGCTATGATATAAGACTTGTAAGAATGAATTAGTTCGTAAATAATTATGATATGAAATGATAAGTAAGCTTATTATCAGACTTTATCATTACTGGCATTAAAGAAGTGCGAAAACATTCAAACCAATTTGTATTATCTTCATTTACACTAAAATAATCTGATAAGATTGAGGTAATTGACCCTTTAACATTTTAATGGTTTATTTAGTATCTTAATTTTCAAACATTGATCTATCAGTAGTACTTACTTTTTCACTTTTATCAATTTGTGTAATTATTTATCATCATAATACTTAATTTAATTAATTCCTACAAAGTATGCAGTAATTGGCAACTTTTATTTCCAAATATTATCCGCAAAGATTTTTATACTAAATACATTTATGCAAAAAGCAAATTTGCTGCAACTTGACGTTTGATAAATTTAATTATTGCATCTTGAAAAGTTTAATTTTATTGGATAATAAAGTATTATTAAAACAA